CAACTCTTGCAAAGAGAATGTAAAATTGATGACCACCTTTTGTGTGGAGAGGATTGATTTACTGCACAAGAATTACTCACTCCCTGGCTGGCCATTGGGCAAAGTTTTGGGGCACAAGACACCTCAGGACTGAGGTTTTGGGGATTACACATCCCACATCTATAAAAGGTGGGCAAGAGTTTGAAAAGCATTATGTAAATAAGAATCAAAGCCCTCCCTCCCCTTACCTGGAAAGGTGTGTGACCTGTGGGAGCAAGTTTTGATCCCTTTCCTGCTTAGGAAGTTTGCTGGCTGTGGTGTGGAACACAGAGATGCTCTAGATTTGCCCATATACATACAGTGTATTAATAGGGATTTCAAAGCAATATCTAATACCAAATAGCTAAAACTGTAGAATCCCTGCAATAAACATATGTATTTTCTTCAACTGGTATTTACTGTCGGGCTGTTCCATTGTGCTGGGTGCCATAGCAAATAGAAAATGGAGCTTGCCTACTTCTCGAGGAATCACAAAGTGTCTCCTGGCTCTTGGTTTGCCAAGTAAATGTGTAGGACTGTGTCCTGTGAATGTGAAGATGGGGAGGGATATCAACAAGGAACCTAAACACTAAGCCCCAAGGAAATGATCTTCCTAGAGGGAAACACTCTGTAATTGAAACCAAACCAACGGCAAGCCTGTACTTTGCTTCTTGACTAATGGTAACCTTTTTAAAAAATAAGATAATTAATGGAAGCTGAATGGTACAAAATCAACAATCACAGGGACCACTTTCTGGGAAACTTCCTCCCCAGGCTCCTTGATTTGTGTATTCCACAGCTGCTTTCCCATTGCCCAAAAGGTAATTAAGAGGTGATAATGATATGTATCTTCCCTTATCAAAGGGAAGATTTATAAATCCCTTATACCAGGGATTTGTGCTGTGATGAAGAAATTGCAGTTTGGGGATGAATTAGCAGGTTATATTCTCTGTGACTCTTGAGTGTCTTATTTCTCCAAACCTTGCAGGTTTCTGAGAACCCCCCCCCCGCCCAGGGCCATTGTGACTCTTGATTTGACCTACAACTTTACTCCTTTCCAAGCTGTTCTATTTGAATCAGGGACACAACTGTCTCCTATTCAGCAAATTGCACATTATACTTGAAGATGTGGCTCAGACCCCATCTATCCATGGTGCCTTCTCTGAACTTAAACTCAGATAAAAAGACACCACAAATTCTCCCAACATCAATTGGTTTCTCTGCCTTGGTTAGCAAGTGGTATGGTGCACAAACGTTCACTCCAGATTGTGGGGAAGGTTTCACAATTAATCTCTTAAACATCTTGGGAAAATATGGGAGTACCTACTCATGCAACTTTTTAACATTTTAAGGATTTCTACAGATGGACGAAGAGAGGAAGGAACAAATGCATTCAGACTGAACTCTCCTAGGCTTCTTTTTTTTTTTTTTTTTTGAAGATTTTATTTATTTATTTGACAGAGAGAGAGACAGTGAGAGAG